GGACATTGTCCTCAACGAACACATCACGCCCCCAGTGGCAATGGGTGAAATGTAGAACCCATGGAGTGAGTGCCAGAGGCCTGGATTGGTGAGCCCTCTTTAGCAGCCACAGAAAGCCTTCTCCTTGCTTCCGCCAGCCAGTCCTATATTATCCACTTAAACCCAGGCTGCAGCAGTACATCCTGGTGGTCACAGAGGTCATTTATGTTGGCTGGGGCATGAGAATGGAGCATGGTAGACCCGAGTCCAGGCTTAAAGGTGCCCAGAAGGCAGAGATGTTACTGATATAGAGAGGTTGCAGGGCTGCAGTGTCGACAATGACTCAGTGCCAGGGCTGGGGTGTAGACAGAGTCAAGGAGGCCCAAATAGCACGTACAGAAATGAACAGCTTAAAATATAGCCTGGGAGGGGTCCACTCACCCAGCTTGGCTCCACCAACCCCTACCCAGCAGGCAGATCAGCACTTTTTCACAACAGGAGTCTTCTCAAAGTGCACAGGGTCCTCCATGTCTCCCTTGGGTTTCCGTCTCACTTTGTTCTTGCATTCAGATCACTCCGAAATTGCCCATCTCTGCTCCTACTTCAGTCTTGACTGAGGGTGTGGCTGTGCCCTGTTTGAATGTCACGTTATGGGAGTTGTATTACTTTACTAGGGCTGCTGTAACAGAGGACCACAGCCTGGGGGCTTTAAATTTTGTTTTGCAGCACTGGGGGATGAACTCAGAGTGCTGGGAATACAGCTATGCACCACCAGGCCTGGTGACTGGGGGCTTAAGCAACAGAAGTCTATTGTGTCATGACTGTGGAGGCTGGAAGACCAAGATCACAGTGTCAGCAGACAGAGCTGGCTCCTTCCAAGGGTTGTGAAGGACAATCTGTTCTGTGCCTCTCTCCTGGCTTCTCGTGGCCATCTCTGGTGTGAGTGACATCTCAACTTTTACCTTCATGTTAATATGACAGTCCCTCTGTGTCTATGTCTGTGTCCAAATTTCTCTTCACATAAGGACACCAGTCATATTAGATTAGAGGCTGCCTTACTCCACCTACTCCAGTAGCATCAAATCTTAACTAGTTACATCTGTAATGACCCTATCTCTAAATAAGGTGACGTTCTGAGGTCCTGGGGTGGTGTAGGACCTCAATATATGAAGTTTGAGGTGGGAAAAGAATACAATTCAACAAGTGGCCAAGACTCCAGCATGCACAACAGGACCTAGTATATGGACGGCACCCAGCTGCCCTTCTATTACCTACCCACTGACAAAAGTGCCCAACTTGAGGACTGTACATACTCATGTACACACACACACACACACAAACACACACACACACACTTCTGACAAGACAGAGCTGTCACTGTTAGCTTCTGAGGAGGTGCCAAACCTCACAGCCAGCCTTCCAAATCCTTACCACCAGGACACAGCAAGCGAGATAAGGACACGACAGCCAAATGACAAAACCCTTCTTGAGAAAAGCTCACTCTCTTAGCATCCCTTGGGAGGCAGGAAGCTGGACAGCATATCATTCTTTTGAACTTAAGGGAACCCTGAGCACAAAGAGAGAGGAGTACCAGTTTTCAAGTTTTCACACCCCATCCTTGAGCTCCAGCACCAAGGGTTGGGCCAACTTCCTGGAGTTCCAGGCCAGGTTAGTGACATCAGATGCTGGCATCCAGGGTGATAAAGAGCACCTGTTACAGTTTAGATCTAGAATGTTCCTCCAAAGTCTCATGTGTTCAGAAGCAGGGCTCTGGAAGGTGATTGGGTCGTGGTGGCACTACTCATCAGTGGATTAAGCACAGTGAATGTGCTGTTAGGAGGTGAGCCCTGAGGGAATGAGGTGTGATCAGCAAGGGCTTGTTCTGTTTTCTGGCTGCCACAGGTTGAGCATCATTCCTCCACCATGCCTTTCCACCATGCTGTTTCTGCTTCCGAGTCAGCTGACCAGGAACTGAACTCTCTAAAATCATGTGCCAAAATAAATCTCTCTTCCTTCAAATTGCAGGTGTCAGGTACCTTGTCCCAGAGACAACAAAGTGACTGATAAAGCACCCATCCATACATCAGACAAGTTCCCATCCTGGCTCCACCACTAGCCACTTCCTCATTGTGTGGACTCAGTCAAGGGATGACCTCCATATTCCTCAGTTTCTTCATTCAGAATATGAGGGTGCTTAAGAGCACCTATCTTGGGAGGACTTCATGAGAACAGAAGGGAAAATACAAGCAGAAGGCTGAAAACGGTGCCTGATGTCTAGTCTGTGCTCCCAGTTTCTGCTTCTTATTAATCCCCATGTGAACTCCCTCTGTAAGTCTCACTGGTCACCATGGCTTAAGTCATCAGCAACTCCTGGTGACTAGAACAAGACCTGGCATCTACTGAGGGGTATTCAATGGGCTCATTATCTAATACAGTGTAGCAAAGTACCCTGAAACTTAGAGGCTTATAAAAGCAAGCATTTGTTCTCTCACTTTGTGAGGGACAGAAATCCAGGAGTGGCTTGGCCCTGGCTCAGGGTCTCTTTGAAAATCATCATGCAGCTGCTGGTTAGGCTACTGGTCAAGGGTGTCCCAGCTCCTGGCCACATGGTCCTCTGCAGAGAGCAGCAGATGACCCACCAGCTGGCCTCCATTAGAGACAGCAGGGGGCCAGCCAGAGAGTAAGGGAGATGGGAGCACCTGAGCCTATAGCTTATGGTCTATGGAGACAATATTTGGGTAGGGAAGGCACAAAGCTGAGATTCTAAGGAAGTCTGCTCCTACTTCAGTGTCTGTCAAGAGTTGGGCTCCATTATGCATGCATCCAATGTCTTCTACAAATTTTGTATTTTGATAGTGGAATAAGGAGAAAGGCAGAATTTAAGAACTCTAACTTCAACTAGCCTATAGAGCAACTAGTTCTGAAGGGCAAGCAGAGATCTGCCTCAACAAAACACCCAAATAGGCTCAGGAAGAATGTGCATCCCTCACCTTCAGGTCTTAAGACTCAGCGGCTCTTTCACTAAACATCTCAGGACACCGTAAGTCAATCTAAGACACACCAGAAACTATGTAAGAAACAATATTTATATAAAAATGTCCTTAATCCCTTCTGCCGACGCTAATATTTACCTGACTGTGTGATTGTTGGCCCCCACTTGGTATCTATCTTTGGCTATAGTTTGGCATATGTTCTGGTTTATAAAAACCTGACTCTGTAAAGTTCAGCAATACCCAGAAGGTCAGAAATTCCTAGGCAAATGACAAGATGAAAAAGCTCTCTAAGGTTAGTGTAGAGCAGTGGCTCTCGGACTTCAGTATGCAGCAGAATCCTTTGATGTTTGCTAAATAAAACAGAGATGGCTGGGCCTGGCCTCCTGGCTGACTCAGAGGGTCTGGCACGGGACCCCAGCATCTGCATTTCCAGAGTTCCCAAGTGTCGCTGCTCTTCCTGGATGAAGATCATAAATTTGAGAACACTGGTGAAGGAAGAGAAGACCCAAGAAGGCAATTTTCCAGCAAGGACAATCAGAAACTGATTCTACTAAGACTCACCCCCCTTGATGTTTGCTGTGTGAATTCTGGCCAAGTCTATGCTGATATACATTCTGTCTTTTCTGTAGTCCTCCCACATACAGATTTGGATTGATCATGGTAACACCTGCTTTGTGGCTCACTCTCACCAATGTTTGTAGGCCCATTTGTTGATTCATTCATTCACTTTTTTTTGTACTGGTAATTGAACCCAGCATCTTCACATTGAGCTAGATCCTATCCCCTTTGAGACAGGGTCTTGCTAAGTCACTCTAGGTTTGAACTTACAATACTCCTGCCTCAGCTTTCCAGAATGCTGGGTTTACAGGTGTGTACCACCATGTCCAGTGCTTTCATTCACTTTTGATAACATAATAAGTACTATAAAAAACAGAAGCCAGGACCCTGAAAATAACCTGCATCTCTCTCCATGCGACTTATCCCATGTATCCTACCTCCCAACATATAAGTAACCAATTAACCTTCATTTTTGTTTGTCTCTTTATAGTTTTATTAAATCTGTAAACTGTGGCAGTCACAGAGCAGAATACCAAGTAACAGTCAAAACAAATAAACTCTACCAACAAGCAATCAATGACATGGGTGAATCACAGCCATATAATATTATTAAGGGATTGAAGTAAAGATTACATACCTATAATATCAGTTTATGACATTAAAAATACACATTCCTTAGGATACCCTAAAATAGGCACACATTTTAAAACTTTTGTAGTTAATCTTAATCTTTGAAGAAATGCATGTTTATTGCACAAGAGTCAGTGAATGAACCCCATGTATCCTCCCCAGGCTCCCTAAGAAAGCTCAACCTTCCATCCTCCAGCTTCTATAAAGTAACACTGAAATCAAGGGCTTGATAGGTGCAGGCAGTTTACACAAGAGGAGACAAAGGTGAAGTAAACATAAGGGGGAAACGTTAACTCTGCTCAAAATCGCAGAAATGCAAATCATTCCCTGACAACTAAGTTGGCAAAAATGGAAGAAAAGAGAACAGCAGTGAACGCCTGTGATATTATAGTAAAAATGACAGGCACAGATGATGCCAGCAGAAATGCGAACTTAAAAAAAAAATTTTTTTTTTTCAAACAGCTGTATGGTGAAATGTAGCCAGGACCGAGGCAGGCATCCTACTCTGCAGAATTTATCCCAAAGAAGTAATTTAATACAAAGAAGGGACTTGGACGGCCCCCAACAATGTAATGACTTAGAAAGCTACAGGAGAGCAACAAGACAGTATGAGATGTGGCTGGGACCCACTGCAATTCTGAAAAGGAAACATACATACGACACTTAATATATGAAGAATACCAAAGACACATTATCGTTAAGGCCATGCAACAAGGCCTGCAAGGTCAGAAACACAAAGAACACAGCTGCCAACTCGCTGAGGGTGTGGGTGTTGTTTCCTCCTTCCTGTGTCTGCCCTGTTGGGTTGTAATTATGTTTTAAAGCTTGATTGGCTCCTACCTTGAGAACTTTCGCAGCCCTCCTCATCGCTGTTGTCCTGGCAGTTATTCTGCCCGTCGCAGAGGAAGCTCTTATCGATGCAGAGGCCATTCCTGCAGTGGTAGCGGGCGGTGGAGCAGAGCAGGGGGTTTCCTGCTGTGAAGGGGAAACAGAGCAGGTCACCAGAGAAGCTGGTGAGTCCCCTGGGTACCCAGAAACTCCTCCAGCAGGTATGATCTGCTCAGGAAGCAGCAGGTTCATCCACTAAGATGCACAGCCTAGTCCACCCTGGGAGCTGAGCCAGCCAGTGACTCTGCCTCCTGTCTAGTGTCCCTTGTCCCAGATGGCCATGGCAGTGCCCTGAAATCCCGTCGGCATGGCTGGAGGTGACTGCCTCACCCGACTGGGTCACTGTGAACTGGTCTGCAGCCTCTACTGCATGGCGGCCAGAATCTGAATCATACCAACTCTTTCCTGGGAATCAAGACCAGAAAGGTTGATGGCAAAGGAGACACACAGACACAAAGCAATGCCTGAAGTAGATGAGCAGCAGTGCATGCACCTCTGCCACCCAGGAAGGGATCAGAGGGCCAGGCCCGAGAGCTATCCGTCACTATAGACCAGCTTGCTAAGTCCTCAATTATTCTTAAAAAGTTTTTTTTGGCAGTACCAAAGATTGAACCCAGGGCTTTGTACATGCCAGGCAAGCACTCTATCACTGAACCCCTGCCGCTTTTTATTTTTTGAGACTGGATCTTGCTAAATTGCTAAGTTGCCTAGGCTGGCCTTGAACTTGTGAACCTCCTGCCTCAGCCTCCTGAGTAGAGCTAGGATTACAGACATCTTCCACTGCACCCAGCTTCCTCATTTATTCTTTATGACTTATTGATCTAAACTCAGTGGTCTCGATTTCTTCTTTGCTACCGAAAAGGTCCCATGAACCCAGTGGTCACTGATCATTTCCTGAGCAATTCCTCCATGAGACGCCATGAAATTCCTTTTTCTTTGGTCTTTCAGGGACTTTAAAAGAAGTAACAGATCTAGATCCTGCCCTTAAGGACAAGGGTGGCAAAAGGCCAGTGTGAGGTCAACACAAAGCTACCTAACACACAGGCAAATGTGCAGAAAAACAGCCTCTCTACAGCACAGTGTACTCCTTTCCCCATTCCTCACAACAATCCAAAAATGCTCATTCCAGGCTCTGTTTTCAATCAATGGAGCAGCAAGTAGAAATGACTCTAATCCCAGCTCTGCTACTTATTCACTGTGCAATCTTGATCAAATTATTTCAGCTCTCTGAGCCTTGACTGCTTTATCTATGGGCAGGACCAGCTCCATAATTTGCAAGGTACAGGGCATACTGAAAATGTGGGGTCTGCTGTTCAAAATTATTAAAAGCACTGAGGACAAGTGCAGAGTATCAAACCAGTTGCGGTGCCCTTCTGGGCTAAGCACCGGCCCCGTATGACTTTGTCAGTAGCAAGCCCAGAACACTGATCCTATCATTTATGGCATTAATTTCAGCATCAGATGAGATGTACAGTGTGGTGAGACCAGCACTGAGTGGATGTCAAGCCCAGCTCTCAGGGGTCAGGGGCAGGTTAGCCCCAGCATCTCTTAGTGGCCCTCACAGAAGCAAAGGGAAGGCTATCATCTGCCTACTTTATAGGCTTCACTGAGCTATTACTGAGACACACAGAACTCTCAGCTACAAGGACCTGGTAAACCTCATGGGATCATATTAGAGGTCTGACTAAAAACACAGTTAATATTTAAATGTTTAAAAATGTATCAGTAAGACAAAGACACACTGTCATTAATCCTACTCAAAATATTCCCCTTATTTTGAACACACTGATCCCATTATTCTTGCCACCTTCTGAAGCGGTTCTGGAAGTCCTCTTTCATGAGTGTCTTTAGTTGCACTGTTGTAGCTGCCTCTATGTTCTGAATTGATTCAAAACATTTACCTTTCATGGTCTTTTTGCTTGCAGAAAAGCCAGAAGTTGCATGGTACCAGATTTGGTGAATAAGGTGGATGAGGACACACCATAATGTTTTTTATGAGCCTGCTTTTCCATTGAATGGCACCTTGCAGCAGCATTCACTGTGTTTTTGATCACACCTTGCAAAGACACAAAAGATCTCCTGAACTCCTTCAGAAAACGGCAAGAATGATGGGATAAGTATATTTGAAGCAAGGGCGAGTGTTTGAGGGAGATTAATTTTATCGTAATAAATGTTTCATTTTGTTTTGTTTTTGTACCCGGGATCGAACTTGGGACCTTGCACTTGTGAGGCAGGTGGCGGAACCACTGAGCTAAATCCCCGGCCCATAAATGTTTTTATTGAAGCACACACCATTCTCACTATATTTTTTGATCATCCCTTGTATGTAGTTGGTGTAGAGGGGCTGGAGAGTTTGGTGACTAGGAGAAGAGTAAGATTAGAGGCTCAGAGAGAAGGAATTCCTCTGTCAGAGAATGATTGCAGAATTTTAAAAACTGTTCAACCTAGAAAGTCTGAGTTGAAAAGTCAGAGACAGTAGAGGGATGAAGGAAGCCAGACCTCTCAGTTTAGCAGATAATGGACCAGTGTCAATTCAAACAACAGTAGTCTGGCCTGAAAAATGGAAGAGTTAATTATGTAAATCACTGTGGGCCAGAGAATGGCTCGACTTGATCAAGCTGAAACCAAAGTCTGACTTCAGCTAAAACCAAAACAGGGAAACCCAAAACCACACATCGCATTTGGTTTTTGTCCAAGGTAGCCCTGCAAAGCCTTCTGCCCATTAGCCTCTCACCACAGTGGCCTTCAGCTTCCCGGGGACCTTGCGGGTCACATCTACAGAGCCAAAGAATCAGTTACAATCAGCTCACTCAAAAGGACAGCCCTGGAAAGACATTCTAATTGCTCCAAGATGGGTGGTGGGAAGCTTCCGTAAACATGCTAGTGGAAAGACTGAGCTGAATTATCCCTGCTGACTTCTTCTAGCTTTTCAGAGTTTCCCAAGGAAAAAAATCATTTGTGTGTAAATTTACATATGGATACATACATACTACATGTGTCTATATTTTTATATGTATGTTTGAAAACCAAGTCATGGACTGGTTTTAATGCCTATAACCAAAGGTTGCATAGCCAGTATATGTGAAGAACTCTTATAACTGCAAAGCAAAAGACAACTCAGTAGAAAAATGGGTAAAGGACGCGGTCATCCAATTCACACAAGAGCAATGGCAAATGGTAAATAAAAACTTGAAGGAACATGTGCACCGTCACTGGTAATGATGGTCACTTTCTGAGTGTCAGATTGACCACATTTGATGTCTTAAATAAGGGTTGTTGGTAAGGATATGGAGGCAGATCTCATGGACCGAGTGGGAGTGCAAATTGGTAGCTCTACCTTGGAGACAAATTAAGTAATATCTAGTAAGGTTGGAGGGGCATATAGCCTACAGCACAGTAACTTCACTTCCAGCTATTGCAGACTCTAGAGAGATCCATGAAGAAACAAAAATGTTTACAGAAGCCACTGTGTATAAAACAGAAAAATTACCAATGTTCACCAATGAGAGCATAGATATAATGTGTTATTCGTTACAATGGAATACCTTAGTAGTGTTCCCACCTGTGGCCCTGTGGGTTGGAAATGCCTGGCTTGCCTAAACCAGGCTGCACCAAGTAAATTGTCATGGGCCACATATAAAATATGAGGCAGGAGGATCCCAAATCTGAGCCCAGCCTGGGGAATTTAGCAACTTGTCATGCCCCTGTCTTTTCCTCCCTCAGGGTCTATGAGCTTTGTGTTCCACTTCTCAAGGAGAAAGCAAGCTACGAGAGAGCAGAGGCTGCCTACCACCTCACAGACCAACTGGCAGCAAGAAGTAAAGGTTGGCAACTATGGGAGGGAACAGAAAAGCTAAAATAAAATTTTAAAAAAACCAACAATTACAAGAATTCCAAAAGCCTAAGACAGTTTCAAAAGAGCCCAGAAAACTCTAAAGGAGCCAAAGACAACTATGTATCACAGCTAGGTCTGAAAAATTAATGTTCCTAAAACATGACCTTGAGGTGCTACCAAAAAAGGCCAACGATGATGAAGCCAAGATGCAGAATGTCTCCGAGAGACACCGGTCCCCGGCGGCTTGAGTGGTGTCCATGTTTGGTTACTGAGCAGATTTCCCAAAGACCCCAGGCAGCCCAAGCTTCCTTCTGTGTCTCCCAGGGCGTCCACAGTCTGACTGCAGAGCTGGTGGACAGGGGCCTCCAAGGCCCAGTGCGGGAAGCTTTGGGCAGGTAGCACTCAGGCTGAGGGACCTTTGTGGCCATGGGAACTGGCCCAGGACTCGTAAATACCAACTCCTTCCTGAGCAGCTCAGACTGGGCAAGAGATACTGTGTACTTAGGATGCTATGTTTGGGACCTTTTAGCAATATTTAGTGTGCTTCAAATGTTTGCTTTCTTTGTCCTTGCAAAGGCTTACGAGTCACTGGAAAATGTGTCTCAGTTAACTATGGAGAGGAACATTGTATCTTACAGTATTTGTTTCACTGGAGGTGGAGAAAATTGTCTGTGGAGTTGACTTTAAAAACTCAATTGTAGGCTCAAAAGCTCTGTGGGTATTATTACACAGAGCTCTAATGGTCTGTTTCCACAGCTCACAGTATGCAGGAGAGAGAACAGTCTCTCTCTGCCGGGAGGGAACCGCTCAGTGGTTCATTACACTGGTGGCGTCTACTTCCACCACATCTAATGGAGTGGACCAAGGGACTGCTGTGGTCACCCAAAAGCAACTGACCAGCTCGAAGACAGGAAATGAGGCCTCAGGAGGACTAAGTTAAAGTTCTCTTTCATTCATTGCGAGTCTGTGAAATCGGCCCTTCTCCAACCACAAAGGGTTCCTGACAAAACACCAGCCGCCATAATAATCGCCTGCTCCTTGCCCTGGGGTGGCCACTACTCACTTCCTAACTCGCGGCGACATCCCTGGGATTTTCTCTCCCCGGCCCAACCTTCCCTGAAAACTGTGCAATGGGATGGGGGTGTGTGTGTGTGGGGGGGCTGCATTGAGACCCCCTTTTCCAGGATGGAAGCTGCCCAGCCCCAGGAAACCAGAGACCCAGCTGTGTGTGGCAGCAATCAGGGTGGGTGAG